TACGTGGCCGTGTCTCGCCTCATTGAAAAACTGCGCCTGCAAGCAACGAACAAGGGTCATGGGAGTGGAGGAATGGGCGGCTTGTCCCGGATTCCCGAGGGCGAGGGCGAGATGGCCAACGACGTACACCATACGAAGCTGGAATCCGCCCTCGCTGCTTAACGTTGATCCGACAGGCTTTGCTGTTCCAGGGGGTTTCGCTCTTCGTGTCCCCCTGGTTTTTTTTGTTGTTATTGTTTTTCTCTCCTTCTTTCTTTCCGTTCATGTTGCTGCTTCTGACATTATTTCCATGATCCTTTCCACTTTTGGAGGTCCATAATCCTCCCTCAACTGTGGGCAGTCAGAGGCAGCGCCCGCCAGCCAGTCGTGGACAATTTGCACCCTCTCCACATTCAACACAGCCCCCTTTTTGCTATGTTGTTTGTTCTCACTGGCCAGGTCGTTTACCCCTAGCTGACCACAATACTCTCATACACCTCTTCTATATTACAACGATCTGTTATGGAAACAAAACGATCAATACGCCCACGCTCCCACTTATACCCACCGCCTTCGTCCATCTACACACATTCTTTGGGATAGCCATCCACAGTTATTTACTAAGGAAGATCTCTCCCCGCTCACGCGATCACGGCTTCTGTTTCCGAATTTTGGAGTTCTACTGTTCATTTTTCCTTTTTTTTATTCCTATTTCTCATTTTCTGCTCCTTTAATGTTTTTGGCTGAGTGCAAGAAAACAGCATATATGGATACTGTAGCATTTGGAGTTAGTGCTTCGGTTGACGGTACATATCACATTCGAACGAAGGAAATCCAGCATGCATGTTGGCCACGACACCCGATGTGCTCTGATGGATTCACTCTACCACATGGCCTGAACGCATACATCCTGGTGTTCTTCTTCGTCTCTTTCCCCCTTTCTCTCTTATGTCCTCGCGTTTCATTGTTTGTTTATTGATCTATCATATTGTTTTTGCCTGTTTCTTTTATGTATTTTTGTCTTGTCTCCGGTTGGGCAGTTTTTACAGGGATTCTCTCGCCGAGCTGAGGACGCAAGTCCGGTGGCTAGAGAAAGAGGAAACACTTCACCTTTGGACACGCGTCCGACTCAACAACCATACCTACTTGTCTTCTTTTTGGATGGGAACGGGCGAAAAAGGGACGAATGCTGATTGGATTTTTAAGGGCATATGGGGGAACCAAGTTGTCCAAGAGGTTGAGGACCAGGGGACTTGCAGAGTCATTTTTGTGGATTCTGTTTGGTTAATATTCTTAGTGGTTTTGCTTTTCTTCCCCCATCCCCATATCCCTTGTTTTTTTCTCCTCCTCTGATTTGTTCCTTTTTTAATCTTATTGTTCTGGGACGGCAATTGTCATTTATTGTCACTTTCTTTTTCTTCTTTGTTTTGTTGGGTGGCCAAGGGGGGTGAGAGACAGGTGGAACTCATGACAGGGAGATGGTTGACGGAGTCCTTTGGATATTTGCCTGACCTCGTCCATCTCCGTTTCCTTCCCACGATCACCGTTTGTCACTGTCTCTTTCATTCCCCGTTTTTTTGGTTGTCTTATTTTGTCTTCTGCTTCATCACACCAAGACAAGTGACCAAAAGTCAAAAGACGGACATGAGACTAACATTGTACGCACGCAACTACAGAAAAAACTACCAACCAACACCAAAAAACAGACATGCAAAGCACAGAAAAACCAGAATAATAATAAAAAAAAAGCTCTTGGGCGGCTATTTGCAAAAACAACCTGCTCCTTGTAAATAACTCAAAGGCGAACGTGAATTTGTCTAATGATACTTCATACAATAGAGGAACCACCGAGAACATAGCAGTCAAATTCGATAGGATACGACGAGACAGCAAAAGTCAGAAGAAAAGGGTATCATTGTATATTCAAGCTCAAAACGTTGGGGTCTATAATAGGGAAGAAATTAGGGGCTACAGGCTGTATCAATAAGTCTGGACAAGGGATAGAAAACATGGTGAACCCCTTAGCTCAGCCGTTCTTCCCACAAGCCCAGGACACCTGTTTCAGCGAGCTCAGGCACCAAACGCACGAAAATGGCCTCGAGGATGCCGTACAATAGGTGCTTGTTGCAGTAGGCGTCGTCGAAAACGTCGAGCAATCCACCCTGAATCTCAGCCAGGACGGCCTCGCTGGGCTTCTTTTTGTCGCTCCAGACGGCGTACACGGCCTCGGCGGTGCGCCGTTTGAGAGAGGCGAGTTCTTCCTCGTTGACAGGCGCAACGAGTGTGGGCGGCGTGGCGCCAAACTTGTTGCCTGGAAAGATGGCGCCCCGGATTGAGCGCAGCAAGTTGGGGAGGAGTGCAGGTTCCAGTGCGTACTTGTGAATATAGTGAGAGAAGAGGCTGGGAAAAGTTAGTAACGCGGATGTCCAAAGAGAACGAAAGCGAGATAACGGCAATCTCGAATAGGATTATGATAAACAGTGGCTGTCAAGGCGATGACATCTAAAATGTGTACTTCATCCAGATGCACTTTTTCTTTGGTCATTTTCTCTCTCTCATATTAATTTTGCTTCTTGGATCCGCGTGGGGGTCACAGGTACTGCAGTTTTTCAGGAACGGGTCATGATGTTAGGGAGGTGTGTAAGAGACAAACGAGAGGCGAGGGCATTGTCTGATTTTCCTCCAGGATGTCGCGGCAAGGGAGTAAAAATAAAACAGGAAATAGCAGGGCAAAAGAGCTATTTCCATCCCGCTGTAATCCAATGTGGATTTTCTTCCGCATAGAAATATCTCTTCTAGGTTGACGGCACGACAGAGGGATGAAACAAACAAAAATGATAGCACTTGCAAGTGAATCCAGAAAAACGGAAATAAAAATATGACAGAATTAAACGAAACAAAGGAGGCGGAGGGGTAGAAAATATCGGCAGGGATGGTACAGCCTGCGCTGTTGCGTCTTGGGTACGTGCGTTTGAATTCTGGGTGCCTAGGAGCTCTCTTTTGTTTGCAGTGCTTGGAGAAACTGATGTAGTGGTTGCATATGGGTGCATGTGTGTATGTATGTTGCTGGTGTGAGGCCTGTCTTGCGTCTGTTTGGCCGCTCCCCGTCAAGCCTCGGGCCTATGGGGGACCGGTCGGCTCAAAGAAGAAAAAAGGCCGCTGAGAACACAGTATCAAAAAGTGATAGGACATCTTCAAGAGGTGGTGATGTGTGGTTGTCATTCTCGTTTGCCTGCTTTGGCTGCTTCCCGTTTGCACTTTGCAAAGTATTTCTACCAGCATCGTCGGCCAATCTTCAACCCTTGACATCGGTACGTCCGCTGTAGCCCACACCAACCAGTATCGTTGTGGAGGGAATGTGGACAACAAAGCGAGAGGGTGGTGGAGAAGAGGGGAAAGCACATTCGGCGAGAAACAAAGCAGCCAGAAACTAGACCCGGACAGGAAAGCAGGTAAGGGCGAGAAGGCTGTGTGAATGTGAACAACCATGGACGGCACAAAGAGAGAGAAGACTGCAAAACAAATGAGCACGTGGGCTCAACGTCGTTCGTCCTTCTTGCAGATGGTTGACAAAACAAGTCAAAAAAGAAGCTAGGGAAGTAGGAACGCAGGAGCGAGTGCAGGATCTGCTTTTTGACCTGAACGGCCGCGAAAGAGGGAACGGAACGAAGCGATCGGTCGGTTTTGCCACTCCCTAGCGCTGGCTCGAGAAGGGGGAACGATTCAAGGGCATCATAAGGGGCGAGTTGTGAACATTGAGAGAAGGAGCTAGGCAGAGACGCGGTGATCTTCTGTGAACAGATTGAGGGCCGCATAAAATCCAACGAACGGCGATGACGACGAGAGGCATCTGCGCGCCGGGAGTGAGGGGAGTGACTTATGATCACCGGGCGCGTAATTAAGGTGCATTGGTGGATGTTGGCGCGGTTGAATTCTGTGCAATAGGAGGCCAGAGAAGCACTTTTGAACGTTTATTGGACAGAAAGCCAACCACCAACAAGGGAACAAGAGGGGCTAAGATGGAAGCTATTCGACGGTGCCGGAGAATTCAAAGAACTGGGGAATGCCCCGAACGAGGATTGGCAAGAAGGAGATGAAAAGCGGATGAAGATAAATAAAAATAAAAATAAAAAGGGAAGGGCGGAAGATCAAACCTATTCTCCAGCCATGTTTTACTGAAATAGGAAGAACCAAACGAAAAGAGAAAAAATTGAAAAGGCAAGGGAGACAGAAAGAAATAGACGTGGCCCGCGGAAACGCGCCTGGACGGACTTGGTCTCGATTGAGCGGCGCGTGCAGTGTGTGTGGAGAGATAGATACAATGTATGTGAAGTGACGGGAAGCATATTGTGCTTTCTTTTTGCTGTCTCCTGTCGGAAGAGACAAACAAGGCCAGAACCACTGGACAAGGGCCATCGGTAAGCAATATCCAGCCGCAGAGCACATCTGCAACCCTGCAACACTCTTTGCTGTTTTGACCGTCTTGGCATTTCTTTTGTCATAGTTCCTATCCCAGAAATTGTAGCCTTGAAGCCAATGGAAGTGAAGTGGAACCAAAGGAATAGAAACCAGAAACGACCAGAAGCAAGTGAAAAGGGGGAGGCGTGAACGCAACAAAGACATTCATATGCAGAGGGCCAGAAGCAGCCAAAAAAAAAGTCAGAGTGGCACCGAGACAATGAAGTCCAGTGACCTGCCGTGTATGCGGAATGAATGGGGAAGCGCGACTAGGGGAGCAGAGGGAGGGGTAAGCAAGATGCGACGCTGGCCGTCTTTGAATATATCCGAGAAGGGAAGAGTGCCTCGAGGACAGGGCATCCAGGTGGAGGCGCAGAGGGACGCACAGAGGAGGTGATGAGAAGAAGGCAATGGAGAGCGATGAGAGGACGCGCAGAGCAGGCCCGCTGGAGAACGTCCTAACGAGAGACGGGAAATGAACAGCAAGCGAATGATGGGCAATGGGCGTGGAAGGACAACAATAAACAATAACGAAAAAAAAAAAATAAAAAATAAAAGTCATCTTACCGGTCAAGAGGGCCGTTGAGGGCGGCAATGCGTCCTGGTCCAGCCATGGCCAGCCACTGCAGCATGGACAGTCCGCCGTAGAGCCAGGGCATGCGGACGTCGAGCTGCACAATGTTGGAGATGGTGGTCCAGAGACTAAAGGCCAGCACAGGCACGACGGGCTCGTCGGTCCCGGCGACGGACGTGGCGACCGAGTAGATGGACGCGGACGACGGCGCGACCTTGACATCGAGGAAGCTGTCTTTGCCGCTGCTCTCTGCCACGGACTCTTTCACCTTTGTCACGACAATGCCGCGCATGGGCAGCGAGCGCGATAGCGTGATGCTCGTCAGGAGGAAACGCAGTGATGCAAACAGCGCCATGCCGATCTTGAGGACGGACCAAAAGACCGGCGCGGCCTTCGTCGTGATCCAGTTGCCGGACGACGGCGACGACGACGACGATTGAGTTTGCTTCTGCAGCTTGGCGGCCGCCCGCCGCTTTTTGGCGAGCCGTTTCGGGTCGCTGTTGTCGCCGTCCATCTTCTCGCGCACAATCCGGGCCACCAAGCCGACAATCTCATACATCATCCACGGCTCGGCCACGCGGCGCGCCAGCACGTTGCCCACAATCAGCTCGGCAAAGATCTGGGTGACGAGCGAGGTCAAGCACTCGTTCTCGAGATCCTCGGTCGGAAGGAGCACGGCCAGCAGGCCGCGGACCAGCAGCTGGCGGTATGCTGCCTCGTTGGTGGCCTGTTCGAGGGCGATGCTGTCGTCCTCCGCCTCCCGGTGGTGGGGATCCGCCTCGCCGAGTTGGATCTTGACCCCGGACGTTGCAGCAGGATGGACGTATGACGCCCCTGGCGGCGGCGGCGGCACCGGGGACAGAGCCGGCAGTGGCCACAGCGCATGGTACACGGCCCGCGGGTCCGTCTCGACGGGCGGCGGCACGAGCGGTCGCCGCGAGGCACGGTACGCGCGCACATGGTTGCCCAGCAGCGCCGGCAGCTCGTCAAACAGCAGGCTCTCTAGGTCGATCTTGCGCAGCCGCTGTTCCAGGGCGCGCGTGCAGTGTGCCACGATCTGCACAAGCTCTGTCACGAACTGGTCGTCGTCGGGCGTGATCTTGCTGTACCACGCCAGGACAAACTCGCGCACAATGACGGCCAGCAGCGCGTACAGCTGCAGGTCGACGTCGTTGCGGCTCGTGAGGAGTGGCAGGAGATCCTCGATGGGTGTAGCATCGCCGTTTCCGCCGCTCGCGCCGCCTAGACCTTGGGTTGCCGTTGTTGAGGATGCCCCGTCTTTTGGACAGAGCGTTCGTCGGATGAGCAGGATGGTCGCTTTGTCGGAGAGGGGATCGACGCTGGCCGCACGAGGTAGGGGCGGCGGTGCACGGCGTGCAGCCGGAGGGGCGGGCATGGGTGCCTGGGATATGGGTGGTTTCTCTGTCATTGTTGTGGCTGTGACTGCTGCTGCTGCTGTTGTTGTGTTGCTGTTGCGTTGAGAGGCGACGTCTCGCGAACTACCGTTCGTGCTGCCGCTGGTAACGGGCTTGCCCGGCGCCGGTTGGCCGTCGCTGCCGTCGTGGATGATCCTCGCCGTGCAGAGGGAGGCGATCGTGGTCCGGACGCGGCCGTGTCGTGACGCTGGACCCCCTATTTTTGGTGTCGCCTTGTCGTTGCTGCTGTTAGCGAGACCGTCGTTGGAGATCGCCAGATGTTCATTCCCGCCCTTATCAGCAGTACCAAAACGGCAGGCGGTGTGGGGCCGCTGTACCGTGGAAGGGCGCTAAGTGACGGCAGCCCGCTGCAGCCCGCTATATAGCGCGGGTGCTCCCAGCTAGGTTGCTGTATCCTGCTGTAATTTTAGGGGATCGCCAAATTTGCACGTTCAGGTCCAGCAGGTAAGGTATCGCCTCTTTGACATCACCACTTCGCTTCTCAATTTCACGACTTTTATTTCAAGCTGTGCTTGAACTCTTTCATTCAGAATAGCAGGTGGCTAACATTTTTCCTTTCTTTTTCATAGACTTTGGTGCACATAGGTGTATCCTAATAATATGCGAGCACCAAGTGTAGCCTTCGAGAATCGACGGAAAAGTTGTTTGAACGATGATTTTCTGCAGACAAGCAGTGAGTGTTCAGCCCCGATACTCTGCACACCCATCCCAAGACATGTCGTCGTTGTCGTGACAACCAAAGGAGCATGTGTCGTGCGTGGTGTCTGCGTATCTGCGGCCACATCTGCGGCCCTCCCGTGGCCGGTTACCGTCCAAGAGCCGCATGCACACCCTGGGGAATTTCCACCATGGAACGGCCCAAGGGCCTGGACCTGCAGGGCGACTGTGCAGGGCATCCGTGCAGCTGCAAGCGCAACGCTGCCTGGTGCGTGTTGCGCCTGCATATCGACTGCTGCATAAGCGAGTGTCTGCCAGCTGGCAAGCGGGGACAGGCTGCGAGGGCGCAACAGTGCGTCAGTATTTAGTTATGCAGACCCGTGGTCGTGGTAAAGCGGTGATGGAATTTGGACATGTACAAGGCGATCGATATATACATCGGACGTTGGACACAAGAGACAAAAGACCCAACCATCAGAACGCCCACAAACGATCCCAATGCATCCTGCCGGGAGACCAATAACAAAAAGGGACGTCTATATTTTTTAGATGCGGCATAATGCGAGCGTGAGAGAAGGACGTTGAACAACGGAAACGAAAAGCTATGAGTTTTGTACAGGCGACAAGAAGAGGAGAATGAAAAAAGACATGAAAGGCAAGAGTTGGCTCGGTGTATCGTGGAAGAAAATCAATCATGGGCGTCGTCTATGTGTCGTCTACTGGTCCGACTCTTTGCGCGTCGCCTCGTATCTATTTGCATGTTTCGTTAGTGGGTGTTCATGTCCTCTGTTTCTTCCGAGCGTCGGGGGCAGATAATATTTACCTCTTGCCGCGGAAGGCCCACAGGCCCCAGTTGCCGCAGCTAATGTCCTGCGGGTCCATGTCGTTGAGATCCCACCGCTGGCTGCGAAAGATGTTCTCGCCCGGCTGCATCAGCAGGTCGAACTCGCCGCGCGCCGTCTTGTTCACCCACTCAATGTCGCGCTCCATGTCGTACTGCGTGTAGCCCGTGACCAGGATGGGCGCCTTGGTCTCCAGGAGCAGCGGCACCGTCTCCGCCCACTCGTGTGAGCTCGCCGGGTGGCCCAGGCCCGGGTGGAAGAGCATAAAGCAGTCAAAGTACGGGTCGTACGGGTAAAAGTACCCCGTCTTGTGCACCGTGTGGTAGTAGTCCACAATCGTGCTAATCTTCATCGACGGCCACACGCGGTCCTCCACGATGGCGCCGAACGGGTTCGCGGGCGTCCGTGGCGGCAGCGGGAACTCGTCGTCGCGGTTCGTCATGCTCTCGGGCCCGATAAAGATGAGGTGGATGCGTGCGCTCGGGAACAGGTGCGCCAGCTGCACCCACACGTCGCGCGGCAGCGACGACTCGGCGCGCGCGCCCAGCACAAACAAGCGCACCGCCGGCGCCTGCGGCCGCAGGCCCTTGATGCTGTCGCTCTCGCCGGACTTGGGGGGGTGCAGCGTGTAGCGCAGCGCGCTGAAGCTCTTGAGGCCCTCCGTGGTCAGCTGCCCGCCCTTGCGAATGCTGTACGGGCTCAGCTCGTGCAGCACGCTCGCAATCGTCACCGGATACGTCAGCAGCCGCGTCACCTGCCGCATGCTGCGGTCGTCGCTGATCGCGTTGAAGCCGCGCGTGTACATGAGCGTGTCCCAGTTGGTCATGTTGACCAGCGCCTCCTCCATCTGCGGACCGGGGTAGTCGAACTCGGGAAACAGCCGGCCCGACCGCAGGTCGTGGTCGTCCTCGTTGATTTGCCGCAGCGTGTCACAAATCTCCAGGTGCGCCTCGTAGTCGTCCATCCAGTGCTCCTCGCTGCAGTACACCGGTATGCCGCAGTCCGGGCACTCAAAGTCCACGTGTGCCGGCGGCAGTTCGCTGCCGTTCTCAAACCGTGCCAGCGTCGTCTTGAGCCGTGGCTCGGCCGCCGGCAGGTGTGTGCTCTTGTGGTGCGGGTGCGGGCAGTGCGCATGCATCTTGATGAATGCGGCACGCTTGCGCATGTCGGCGATCGGCGAGTTCGTGTACGAGTGGAACAGGTCGTTCTCGGCCAGCACCCGGTTCTCCTTCTCGTGTGCCGCGACAGACGCCGCGCTGGGCTGCTGCGCGTTGTCGGTCTTGGCCGCAAACACGGATGTTGAGCTCCTCCGCTTCTGCGTCGCGGATGTGGGGTGGAGGAGCGTCGCTGTGGACGAGGCGGCAGCGTCGGCCCGCCACCGTGGCCGCGAATCGGACGTACACGACATCGAAGACACCTTGGCTGAAGCAGCCGGAGGCGTAGCGAGCGTGGACCGCGTTCGTGTCGCCGTGGTGGGCAGACGCCGGGCGGCGTTCACAGTAGAGAGCGGCCGTGGCCGGGCAGGCGCCCGTGCACATTGTCGGCACAAATTGGACAGCATGGCTCGGACGGCGGGCTCGGAGGATGCCATTCTTGTGTGCAGAGCCGGTGGTGTCGGGATTGGGCCACTCAATGCGGAGTGGGCAGCCGTTGGTCGTCGGTCGTCAAAGCAAACGCAGGAAGCAGCAGCGGAGGATATCGTATGTTTCTTCGTGTGGCCTGGAGGCCCCAGTTTAAAAAAAATGTTAGCACCAAACACGCCTGGAACCGCTGCTGGCATTCCCCTCCATAGGCGCGGCAGAATACCGACGAGAAATTCTCGTTACCGCCCGCCTTCCCTTTACATGAGCAATTGGAGGGGGTAGCTCACGAAGCTCTGTGATTGGCCATGGCGGAAATAGTATGTTCCGAGGCCCGGAGACCCGCCTGGCTTCCAACGTTGGGGCCCGCCAGAGCTGTTTCTGTGTTGATTTTTTTCTTGCCTGCATTTCCTCTTCGATTCAGGTTTCCAGGCTTCTTTCTCTCCACGCTCTTTTCTTCTCTTTTTCACCGCTTCGCCCCTTTCCCTCGTGGCCTGTCCTTCCCACGCAGGCCCCGACTCTCCATCCCATGCCCTGATCGGCCTCTTCCCTCCCCTGCGCGGCGATAGACTGGGCTTGCGCCCGCATCCGCAAACATGGCGACCGCCACGTCGAACATGTTTCTCTACTCGCTGACGCTGCAGCCGCCGACCACGATCAGCCATGCCATCCTCGGCCAGTTCTCCGGCACCAAGGAGCAGCAGATCCTGGTCGCGTCCGGCTCGCGTCTGGCCCTCCTGCGTCCCGAGCCCGCCCAGGGCAAGGTCGTGACAGTGCTGGCCCACGACGTCTTCGGCATCATCCGTGCCCTCGCGTCGTTTCGGCTGGCTGGAAGCTCCAAAGGTATGTTGTGTCTCGTCTCTGGCCTCTCGCCTACTCAATTGGGGCTCTTTCTCGCTATGTCGTTCCTCCGTCATATCCTTTCTCGCCCGCATGCCACGTAGTGACCATCTACCAGGCTAGACGCGTCCGACGGCGTACCGTCCGGGCGTGTCCCCTTCCTAGCAGCGTCTGTTGTTTTGCTTTTACTGGTGGCTAACAAGACCTCTTTGTGCCTCCCAGACTACATTATCCTGGCTACAGACTCGGGCCGCATCACAATCGTGGAGTACATCCCTGCCGAGAACCGTTTTTCACGCGTGCATCTCGAGACCTTTGGCAAGTCCGCCGTGCGGCGCGTCGTGCCCGGCCAGTACCTTGCTGCCGATCCCAAGGGCCGCGCGTGCTTGATCGCCGCCGTCGAGAAGAACAAGCTGGTCTATGTGCTGAACCGCAATGCCCAGGCGGAGCTCACCATCTCGTCGCCTCTCGAGGCCCACAAGCCGGGCGTCATTGTCATCGCCATGGTGGCACTTGACGTCGGCTACTCCAACCCTGTGTTTGCTGCGCTGGAGATGGACTACAGCGAGTCGGACCAGGACCCGACGGGCGAGGCGTACCGCGAATCGGAGACGCTGCTGGTCTACTACGAGCTGGACCTTGGCCTCAACCACGTCGTGCGGCGCTGGTCCGACCCCGTGGATGCCACTGCCTCGATTCTCTTCCAAGTGCCCGGCGGCAACGACGGCCCCAGCGGCGTCCTCGTCTGCAGCGAAGAGAATGTCACCTACCGCCACTCCTACCAAGAGGCCTTCCGCGTGCCCATCCCACGGCGACGTGGTGCCACGGAGGACCCCAGCCGCAAGCGCACCATTGTGTCGGGCGTCATGCACAAGCTCAAGGGCAATGCCGGTGCCTTTTTCTTCCTCCTGCAGACAGAGGATGGCGACCTGTTCAAGGTGACCCTGGACATGGTCGAGGACGACGACGGCAACCCGACAGGCGAGGTGCTGCGCCTCAAGATCAAGTACTTTGACACGGTGCCCGTCGCGTCGAGCCTCTGCATTCTCAAGAGCGGCTTTCTGTTTGTTGCGTGCGAGTTTGGCAACCACCACTTTTACCAGTTTGAGAAGCTCGGCGACGACGACGACGAGCTCGAGTTCTCCAGCGACAACTTCCCCGCCGATCCCAAGGCGCCATACGAGCCCGTCTACTTTTCTCCGCGGCTGGCGGAAAACCTCGCCCTGGTCGAGAGCATCGACGCTACCAACCCCATGCTGGACGTCAAGATTGCCAACTTGACCGAGGACGACGCACCACAGATCTACTCGGTCTGCGGCAATGGCGCGCGCAGCACCTTCCGGATGCTGAAACACGCCCTGGAGGTGAACGAGATTGTCGCGTCCCAGCTGCCCGGCACACCCACGGCCGTGTGGACCACCAAGGTGCGCCGGGACGACGATTTTGACTCGTACATTGTGCTGTCGTTCAACAACGGCACGCTCGTCCTGAGCATTGGCGAAACCGTCGAGGAGGTACGGGACACGGGCTTCCTCACAGGCGTTCCCACGCTTGCTGTCCAGCAGCTGGGCGACGACGGCCTCATCCAGGTGCACCCCAAGGGCATCCGGCACATCCGCGACGGCCGCGTGAACGAGTGGCCGGCGCCGCAGCACCGGTCCATTATCATTGCGGCCACCAACGAGCGGCAAGTCTGTGTTGCCCTCAGCTCGGGGGAGATTGTCTACTTTGAGATGGACACCGACGGCTCGCTCGCCGAGTACGACGAGAAGAAGGAGATGTCGGGCACCGTCACCAGCTTGAGCCTGGGTGCCGTGCCCGAAGGCCGTCTCCGCAGTTCCTTTTTGGCCGTGGGCTGCGACGACTGCACCGTGCGCATTTTGAGCCTCGACCCGGAGACGACGCTGGAGAACATGTCCGTCCAAGCACTGACGGCGGCGCCCTCGGCGCTGCTCATTATGGCCATGGACGACTCGTCTGCAGGGGGCTCCGCCATGTACCTGCACATTGGCCTCAACTCGGGCGTGTACCTGCGTACCGTCTTGGACGAAGTGACGGGCGAGCTCACGGACACGCGGCAGCGTTTCTTGGGCCCAAAACAGGTGCGCCTGTTCTCGGTGTCCGTGCAGAGACGGGTCTGCGTGCTGGCACTCAGCTCCCGTCCCTGGCTCGGCTACGACGACAGCAAGGCCAAGAACTTTGCCATGACCCCGCTCGACTACGGCGAGCTCGAGTTCGGCTGGAACTTTAGCAGCGAGCAGTGCGAAGAGGGCATGGTTGGCATCTATGGCAACTTTTTACGGTGAGTACTTCTCCAGACCTGCCTTTTTCGTTTTCGTTTTCGTTTTGATTTTGATTTTCTTTTGCCCTGTCTTCCCTCGGACCTCCTTGGTTTGGCATCATGATGAGTAATAAGGGAATTAATCCTACGCTATACAATAGCCATGAGGACTCAGTATCATTTGATATCAATTGTTCCTTCTGACATGCCGTCTTTCTCTCCCGTTTCTTGTTGCTGCTTCATCTTGTTGCTTTTTCTTGGCACAGAGACTAACGCAACCAGAATCTTCTCGATTGAGAAACTAGGCGAACCTCTCATTCAGAAAACCTTCCCCTTGACATATACCCCCCGCCGGCTCGCCAAACATCCCGAGCTCGGCATCTTCTACACGATCGAATCCGACAACAACACCCTCTCTCCATACCTACGGCGGCAACTTCTGGAAGCGTCAGGCGCCACCAACGGCAACGCACAGCCCCTCCCGCCGGCCGACTTTGGCTACCCGCGGGGCAATGGCCGCTGGGCTTCGTGCATCAGCGTCGTTGACCCCGTCGGCGAGGACCCGGGCGTCACGCAGACCATTGAGCTCGAGGGCAACGAGGCCGCGGTGAGCATGGCCGTCGCGCCGTTCACGAGCCGCAACGGCGAGAGCTACCTGATTGTGGGCACGGGTAAGGACATGGTCATGAGCCCGCGCCGTTTCTCCGAGGGCTACCTCCACGCGTACCGCATCAGCGACGACGGCAAGCAGCTCGAGTTCCTCCACAAGACCAAGGTGGAAGAGCCACCAACGGCCATGATTCCCTTCCAGGGCCGCCTGCTGGTGGGCATCGGCAAGGTGCTCCGGATCTACGATCTGGGCATCAAGCAGATGCTGCGCAAGGCCCAGGGCGACGTGACCGACAAGCTGATTGTGTCTCTGGCTACGCAGGGCAGCCGCATCATTGTGGGCGACCTGGAAGAGGGCGTCACGTACGTGGTGTACAAGCCCGAAGTCAACAAGCTGCTGCCGTTTGTCGACGACACCATCAAGCGCTGGACCACGTGCACAACAATGGTCGACTACCAGACGGTGGCCGGCGGCGACAAGTTTGGCAACCTGTGGATTGTGCGGGCGGCCGACAAGGTCAGCCAGGACGTCGACGAGCCCGGGTCCGAGCTGCAGCTGGTGCATGCGCGCAGCTACCTGCACGGCACGCCGAACCGCCTGGCGCTGATGGCGCACATGTACACGCAGGACGTGCCGATGAGCATCTGCAAGACGAGCCTGGTCGTGGGCGGCCAGGAGGTGCTTGTCTGGAGCGGCCTGCAGGGCACCGTCGGCGTGCTGGTGCCGTTTGTCAACCGCGAGGATGCCGACTTTTTCCAGAACCTGGAGACGCACATGCGGCAGGAAGACGCGCCGCTGGCCGGCCGCGACCACCTCATGTACCGGTCGTACTATGTGCCGGTCAAGGGCGTGATTGACGGCGACCTGTGCGAGCGGTTCAATCTGCTGCCGCGCGACAAGAAACAGATGATTGCGGGCGAGCTGGACCGGTCGGTACGCGAGATTGAGCGCAAGATCTCGGACGTTCGCACACGATCCGCCTTTTAGGAGGCCCCTTTCCCCGGGTCACGTTTGTACACATGTTGTTTTTTCTTTTCATTTTTGCGTTCATTTTGGCTTTATGAATTTTCATGGCTTTGCATTTTTACGAATGATACCGGCGTCCATGGCTTTCTCGGAGCGGGTTTGGTCTGGCGGACAGGGCGAATGACCACGACACAAAAATATCCTTGGTACGACGGGCCAATTGGCGTTTTGTTTTTACATGTTTCTTATATACATGACGATTTACATGTTGCGGAGCTGTGCATGTGTATGCGTGCACGGCACGTAATCTACGGGACGAGCAATGGCTTCACTAGCAAAACTGGTTTCCGAAATAATGGCTGTGAATGACGGTATATGGTGAACGGATCGCTGCGTACATGCAGTAGGGTATGACAGGGCCATTTGTCACCTCAGCTCCTCCGCCGCGAGAAGAAGCCACCGACCCTGCCGTCGGTGCCACTGTTCTTGTGCGCCTTCTTCCGCCGCGCGTCTGCCTTCTGCTTGGCGGCCTCCACCGGATGGGACCTCTCCCACTGCTCGTCGGCCTGGAAGGCTTCGACGGCGGCTCTCAGATCGTAGTCGTAGCCCAGTTCCGCGTCTTCTCCACGCCAAGCCGTTTGTTCCAAGTACAGCACCGCCAGGTCGTAGTCGGATACTTTGCACGCCACCATGAACCGCCGAATCGCCGCCTTGCGCCGGCCCTCAGCTTCGCTCTCGACAGGCTGCGGCGAGAGGGAGGTCAGGGCTGCGTGGGCCGACGACGGAATCTGGATGACGCGGCGGGCTTGCAGCAAATGGTCGGCCGCCAGACGATTTGCTTGCCGCAGCTGGGCGGCTGGGACGTTGTAGCGGAGGGACAGCGAGGCGATGGAGTCGCGGTCGTGGTCGAGGTAGTGGAGGACCGGACCGGCGTCTTTTTCGGAGGGAAAGGAGGGAGATGAGGGAGATGAGGGAGAGGAGGTGGCGTTGTTGTTAGGAGCATTGTTGGTGCTGTACGGGGGCGGCGCTTCGTCCGTGGACGGTTGCGCATCGGCCGACGTGCTTGCGCCGGCACCGAAACGACGATAAGGTGGTGGTGCCTTGAGGCCCGGGGGTAGGAGGTCGCTGGTTGCTGATGCCATAGTCTTCGACGACGGCGGTGGCGCAGTCGCAATCTGGCAGAAGGGGCAGTATGTCGCAAAGCGAGCGTTTTGCGTTAAACAACGACTGCAGACAAAACGGTCGCAGCAAGGCAGTTGGCGGTGCTGAGGCGAGGCTGTCTTGGCGTCTTTTGGCGTGACCGGGGCGGCCGGAGTGATCGGAATGCCGGCCAACAGTGGTGCGGCACAGGTGCAGCAATAAGACGTCATCGTGGGCGGCGATGAATTTCTGTTGACAGGACTATACGATGGGATGCTGGGACGTTGGCAGGAGGCAGAAAGCATCGCCACCTGTTGCAGGATACGGAGTTCGCCAGAGGGTGTGAACAGCGGGGCCGCTCTTACAACGTGGACCCACATTTATTTTACTGCGTTATTCTGAGAACCGATGAGCTGGACAACAACAGTAGGAGACTAGTATATATTCTAATTCTATTTCTGCAATCCTGTCTCGTGCTATGTTCTGCGTAAATCCGTGCGCGGACTACGCAAGCCACGACATGTCCCCCGCTGCAGCCGCCCGCCGGCACTGCGACAGCTCGTCGAGGAACGCTGGGACAAAGGTGCCGGGACCCTTGACCGACGGCAGCACAGCGGCCCGTGCCGCAGCCCGCTCGTACAACGCCATTCCGGCCAATACAGCTGCAAAGGTGTCAATGTCCTCGCTGTCTGGGCCACGGCCTGCGCTGTCGGACGCACGCCGCAGTGTCGCCGCGGCCGCAATCGACGCCGACATTACAGTCCCCAGCGAACAGCCCGTGCCCGTGACCTGGCCGAGCATCGGGTGCCCGTCGGCGACGGCCACAACGCGGGCCCCACGGCTGTCGCTCACGTAGTCGACCGCGCCCGTTAGCACGACAACACACTTTTCGCGCGCGGCCAGACGGCGCACCAGGCGGATGCGCGCCTCGGCGTCGAGCGTGTTACTACCGTCGACGCCGCGCTGCTGCGCCAAACCGGCAGACTCTGCCGCGGCTTCGTCGTCCGACAGGCCCGACAGGTACACCGTCTGGATCTCGCCCTCGTTGCCCTTGATGACGTCCAGGTAGCCGGCGGCCATGATCGTGCGCACGGCGGCGCGGCGCACGGCCGTCGCGCCCGCGCCCACAGGATCAAAGACGACAGGGCGGCCGGCGGCGTTGTAGGCGGCAATGGCTTTCACGTAGTTGGCGAGGCTCTCGGGCGTCGCCGTACCCATGTTGATGACGAGCGCACTGCCCGGCAGGCGCGCCAGGTCGGCCGCCTCGACACCGCTGTTGGACATGATGGGCGACGCGCCGACCGCCAGAGCCACGTTGGCCGCGATGTTCTGCACGACCAGGTTGGTCATGTTGTGCGACAGCGGCGTTGTCTCGTGCAGCGCCTGGAGGATGCGCTGGATGGCGGCGGTGGGTGGCAGCGGGGACGGCGATGTGTAGGAGGCAAACGACGTAAACGGAGCGGCCGGTGCGCGGTAAAACGCCGTCGGGCCCTCGTGCTTGCCCAGGCGCACCTGCTCGGCCAGCGCCTCCGCCGCTGCGAACGGGTCGGCTGCGCCCATAATGGCACTCACCACAGCCACGCCGTCCAGCGCCTTGGGGGCACCGGCCTCCCCCGCGCTGTCGCCACCGTCAAACCCGCTCTGGAAAACGACCCGCCGCGCGTTGCTCGCGTTCACGCCGCCAATGCACACTGCCGGAATGTGCCCGAACCCGGCCGCTGCCATCGCCTGCAGCATCCGCTGGATCCCCGCCGTGCCCACAACGTGCTTCGTGTTGGTCTTGGTCGGCGTCGCAAACACCGTGCCCAGCCCCAGGTAGTCGGCACCGTCGCGGCATGCCGTCACCGCCTCGTCCACCGTGCTTGCCGTCACGCCGATAATGGCGTCCGGCCCCAGCATCCGCCGCGCCGTCGCCACGTCAATGTCATCCTGTCCCAGGTGCACGCCCTCGCAGTGGCCGCGTGCGGCCGCAGCCACGGCGACGTCGACCCGGTCGTTGACGAGCAGTGGTGCGCCCGCAGGGCCCGTGAATTCATGCAGAGCAGCGAGTGTCGTCAGCATCGTGCGTGCGTCGGCGTCCTTGTCGCGCAGCTGGACGATGCCAATGTGCGGGGGTGTCGATGACGATGTCGATGTCGTTGTCGATGTCGATGACGTTTGGTTGCGGAAGGCGGCACCCACGACATCGACGACCGTGCGGCCCGGACCGAGAATGGCCGGTGTCGGGTCCGTCACCAAGTAAACGGAGTAGTCGACTTTGGGGGGCATGCTGGGCGACGAGAGTGTTGGCAAGAATTAAAAGAAGACAAGAATGCAGAATCGAGAAAGCAAAATGACTGCGCTGGTGGCGCTGTTGCGTCAATTGAGCTCCGAACGCGGCTTAAAACGGCCCAGTGGGGGTCGAGCTAGAGCTTTTTTTTTATCCGCAGCGGGCTGGGGCGATCACTACTGTATCCAAGCTAACGACTTACACGAACAAAACACATGCAAACTGCACCAGTCTCGGCGCGACGACCCGGCTGCCACATTTCCATTCCTCATTGCGTCTCCCGTCTCTCCGCACATGCTTGCCAGACGTTACTTACGTCTTCACAGCTGCTGGAATCACGAACGTGCCCATGCCGTGTCCCGGCACCGATCCGGACACAGCCCCGTCTGCCGTCACTGTCGCCGTCGACTTCTCACAACTGTGCGTGTTGTCCGTCACCCAGAGACCCACGCCCGTCGCCGTCGAGGGCACCGTCACGCCCGCCACCTTGACCGTCACCGTGTTGGGCGACGCCGCGCTGTTGATGAGCACCACGGCAATCGTGCCGTCCACATTTTGGAATGCCGCCGCCCGCAGACCGGTGCCCGCCCCCGTCGCCGCAATGCGCGTGGCCCCGGGGCGCACGTAGCGCGAGAACTGTGCAAACGCCCACAGCCGCTTCGCCACCTCGTACGTGTTCGTGCTGTTGTCCACCTTGATCAGCTTCTCGTTCGTGTTGGGGCTCGGCCCCTGCACGCCCTCCCAGTAGAGGTACCCGCCAATGTTCGTGTTCACAATCGCGTTCATAATGTTGCTGGCCCACGTCATGCCCTCGCCCGCGCCGCCGCCCCCCGACCACGCCGTCGACCATCCGCCGTTCAGGTCGCACTGCTCCGACAGCCACATGGGCACCTTGACGTTCATGGGGCCCGAGGGCCCGCTCGTGTACGTGTGCGAGCTAAAGGCCTTGACCAGGGCGTCCGCGCCCGCCGACTTGATCGCGTTCGTCATGCTGACCTGGTTGCCCCAGCCCTCCGACTCGCAGCACACAATGCCCAGCGAGTCCGTGAGGTTCTGTGCCTGGATCGTCTTGTACAGCAGCTTGATAAAGTCGGCCGCCTGCGCGCCCGACGCCCCCATCGACGCATAGTTGGCGCTGTACTCGGGCTCGTTGAGGAAGCCCAGGTGCGACACCGTGACGCCCGCGTCCCGGTAGAACCCGACGTACGCCAACAGGTAGTCCGCATACGCCTGCTTCCAGTCTGCCGCAATCGACCCGCCGTTGGCCTCGTTGCCATTCGTCTTCATGTACCCCGGCGCGCTCCACGCGTCCGCGTAGATGGTGCGCACGCCGTACGTCTTGAACGCCTCCTGGCTGACAAACAGCTGGCCCGAGTCTTTGCCGTCAAACTGGTAGTTGGGCTTGGCCGTCGGGCTGCCCGGGCTCTTGGGCGCAAACGAGTTCATGTGGTCCGAGCTCGAGTCGGGCGACGACCCGATGCCGTTGCGCAGCATCGAGAACCCGGCGCCCGACGTCGTGTTGAACAGCAGGTCCAGCAGCTGCCGCTGCTTGGCCGCGTCCTTCATGTTGGTGATGAGGTTGGCGCGCTGAAAGGCCAGGCTGAACCCAAACCCGTCCATCTTTTGGTACGTCTTGTCCGGGTTGACGGTCAGTGTCGACACGCTGCCAGCACCGCCACCTTGCCGCGGGTAAAGCTCGTAGACGACCTCGTTGACTGGGCCGGCTACGCCGGTCGTCGCCATTGAGGCCGCAAGAGCAGCTGATATAAACCGCATAGTTCAGATATATGTGCTTGCTGGTATTTGTTTTGCTTGTTATTGCTGTCCTCGTATATGCTGCTTCGTGGAGGGACGTGCAGCAAAATGGTCGCAGTGCTGCCGACTCTTGCAGCGAAAGCACTTGACCTTCAATCGGCTCGTACATATATATTCGTGCCCCTTTTTCTCTGCATCTCCGTTGCACCGTCAATTCTCTTTCCCCGCGTCCGTATCGGTAGTTAACTAGCACATAGCAGCTCTTCTCTCCCGATATCGTTGTATATTGCCGGGTGTTAACAAGAATCTTACCTCCCACTGATTGCTTGGGCTGTCTTGGCGCACGCGGCTAGAAAAAGCTGTATCCAAAAGTCAAAGTGTAAGTGTGCTGTGATTGTCTGCAGATGGTACAATAGCCATGAGCCCAAATCTATAAAACATCGTAGTGGTTGCACCCGAAAGTCAACACAAAGCCAAAAGCAAACAAGTTAAAATCGTAAACAGGTTTCCTTTTCCCAATAATTATTCCATCCCTCTCTACAGAAGAAGTTGTCATACCCAAGCCATGGCGTTATGCATAAACCAAAGAAATAGTCAAGAAATCCAAATAACAACAGATGTGCAAATATGTCATCCGACAACGCCAACATTCGTGCCCCCCCTTTTGTGACGTACTGGTTCGTTTGGTAGATCGGGTAAATGACCATCTGGCGAACCCATATTTTGTGCGGATAAATCCGGTGAAATGGACAAGAAAGAGACGGGCGGGGGAGATCAATTCAGAACCGCAACCCAGGATCAAGACAGATTCGCGGCGCTTAGAGCGAGAGGTCCTCTCCTTCTCGCACCGGCACATGCAGCATTGGACAGAGGACGCTTCATCTGCTCGCTCCGACTGCAGTCACGCTTACAAATTCATCTGGCCCCAAGAATCGTAATACGCCGGTGTGCCCATGTTGGCGTCCATGTACGACTCCCATCCGGGTGCATTGAGAAAGTCAGGGAGGCCGGGGCCGTCCATGTTCTGCATGTAATCAATGGTCGCGTCCGTAAAGCTGAGGAACGGCTCGGAGTAAATCGCAATGGATTCAAGCGGTGCATCGGTGGCCGTTGCCTCAACAGTACCGGGTGAGGCCAAGTGCAGTGGCTGTTGGTGCGGCTGCAGTGGCTGTTGCTGCTGCTGCTGCAGGTTCAGCGGATGCGGGTCTGGAGCGTCCATGTGACCTGCATAGCCGGCGACGCCGGGCCCTGCAACATTGACGTTTGACGGCGATGACGAGGCCATTTCCGTGTCCATGTTCGCAGACTGCTGCATGGGGACCTGGGCCTGGCTCTGGCTCTGCTCTTGAGCGCTGGATCGGTCCGTCCGGGCGGATGAGGGCACGGCATCCATCATGGTGGCAAACGGCAGCGGGCCCATGGTATTCGCCGGCCCGGCGCCATTGATAATCGGATTCAGGGCGCCACTGCTGTCGCCCGGTAGACTGTCCAACTCCTTGGAAATCATGGCCTTAAGATCGGATAGGCGCTCGGCCAGGCGCGTAAAGGGATCCTGGCGAGGATCCATCATAGGCCGGCAAATGTTGCTCGCTTGTTTGTCGCTAGTATCGTTGGAATTGGTCTTGCTCGTGTCGGCTTTTCCGCCAGTATTGTTCGTGCCGTTCGCATCACTGCTGTGCCCAGTCGGCGTCGAGTCTTTGCCGATAGCATCTGCCTCGGAACTGGCTGGTGACCCGTTGCTGCTGTTGCCGCTGCTAGACTCTCCACTCCTTGTGCCGCTGTAGCTTGTCGTTGCCGTCACCAGAGATGGGACGGCATCGCTTGTCCCGGCTCCGGCGCCATTGGTTGTCCTGGGGCGAAGAGGCTCGTCGGGTGAGATGCGGAAGCGCTTTTGGCTACGACGCTCCGCGAGCAGCTGCAGGTCCAGAATCTGGCGGTCAATGAGGTCGTCAAAGGCCAGTTCCGTTCGCACTCGGCGGCCGTCCCAGCCGGGCGCTTGCAGGGTCATGAGCTTGAGCGAGGTCAAAAAGGCATACGTAAAGTCGAATGTCGACAGGCACAGGAAGCGCGGTTGGTCGGTGATGTAGTCTTGGAAGCGGTTGCGCATCAAGTCCTTGATGGCGTACGTGCAGGCCCACAGTAGCTCCAGGCGGTCGCCGGCCGACAAGGGCTCGTCGCGCAGTGCCGGGTCAATGCCGATTTCTTGTAGGCCCGCTTCGTAGAGAAGGATCTCGGCCGCGTGGACATGGCCAACGAGGTTGACTGAAGGGCGGGTTAGTAAGCAATTCATCAACAACCTCCATCTTTAAAGATCTTCAAACATTGGTAAACTGACCATCGTCGTGGTAGGCCTCCGGCATCTGGGCCTTGAAGGCCTCAATCTGCTGGCGCAGGTTCTGCATCATATGGCGAAACGACATGCCCACCTGCACACCGTCGGTGCGTAACGAAAATGCCACAGAAATCGACTGACTCAGCTGCTGGATGCGCACGAGCTGCACCAGATACGCGTCTGATGGGTACTCCATCTGGCGCTCGAGGACCTGGCAGCATGTTTCCAAGTAGGCTGTGTTCATCATAATGTCGGGCCGCTTGTTCGTCGTCGTCGCCAGCGCGACAAGATAAAAGGTGCCGGCAAACGTGCGCATCTGCTCCAGGGCCACGGGCGGGTAGTCGGTGGTCTGCGGATCGACGTCGCCAGTCTCGTCCGCATCGTTGCCTGCCTGGGCACTGTTGTGTCTCAAGTTGGAGAAACAACTACTTTGAGCGTCATCACCACCACTCGCTCCAGCAGGTGCTCCACCTGCCTTCTTGGAACGAGAAGATGCCGTGAGGGGCGGGAGCGCCTCGCTGATACCGAGCGACACACACATCGCCCGCGCCAGGTAGAAGAAGTTGATCAGCTGGAAGCTGTTGATGTTGTAGTGGAACCAGCCGACTAGTACAAGCACCGCCTGCAGCATGTCGAGCGTCCGGCGCGGTTGCAAGAAAGCCGCTGCCGCCACCTCACCCAGCAATTGATTGCCCATGGCGATTTGGCGCGTTCCGTCAAGGTGACAGGCAGCCATCATGACCGACTTCCACAGCGTGGGGCGGCCAATGCGCAGCTTCTCGGATGTGACGTACTCCGGGATAATGACAAAGGGGAAGAGCGGCATCATAAACTTGCGGAACTCGGACAGCATAATCTCCGCGTCGTCGTTCTTAGGCCAGATATTGTCCGGCGTCAGGTTCACCGAATTTAGCGGAGGCAAGCTGGCCGGGGTTGCTGCACCCTCACCGCCCGACGTGGCTGTTGGCGGGTAGTAGCGCTGCTGCTGCTTCGAGGCTGCACCGGCCATTGCAGCAATGTTCGCCGCAACCTCACTGTGCCGTTTAGCGGCCGCCGAGAATGCTGCGCCTGGAGACGCCTGGTTGTAGTAGTTCCGCTGGCCGGGCGTGATAAACGAGGGAATGAAGGTGGATGCCGGCATTGCATCGTCCTTCGCCCGGTGCCTGCTGCTATTCGATGCCCTCCCAGACGCCGTGCTACTGTTCTGCGCGTTGGATGCGGGTGAGGCGACGACGGTCATAGGGGGCGAGATGCCGGCGTGCTGCTGTGACATGGAACTCTGGCGAGATGTAAAGGTACCCTTAAGAGCGTCGTTCGCTGCCGCGTCTGACCGTAGGTTGGGGTTGTCAGTGGGGAAGAGGTGCCGTGCAGGGTACATGTAGCCCCAGTGCGCCTTGAGGCGGAAGATATCCAACGGACTGGAGCGGTGGTTTGGGTCATTGGACTCGGGCGGGTTGATCTCGTTGTGCAGCTTCTGCTGCTGACTCACAGAGTCAAGCCGCGACGTCAGGTCCTCAAGGCGACGCTCTAGCTCGGCCACACGCGTCGGCTTGGGTGCCGCACGCTGCTGTGTCTTACCACCGGCCGAATGTCCGTTTATGCGACCATTGGACATGTGCGGATTTCCAGAAGTCGGATGACCGGTTTGGCTGTTATGGTTCCCCGTCGTGCCGCCATTGCCGCTCTGTACCGATCCTGTTGGCCGGATGCCCTCCATGCTGTCATCCAAACGCCGCTTCCTCGGCGGGGCCGGAGTTTGAAGTCCACATGGCTTGTTGAGTCGGTGGCATCTTGGGAGCGTTAGAAAGACCAATGTTCAACCATCGAAAGCCAGAATTGCTCCTGTAAAGTAGACAAAGGAATGCAATTGCACAACACAATTCATTTATGAGCCCAAAACTTACCTTTCACAAATGTTGGCTACTGGGCCAGGTACGCAACGACTCTTGGCCTTTGCACACGTCGAGCAGGCCCGAGGACCCTTGTTTTTGCTAACGGGAAGCATGACAGCAGGTGTCTGTGATGGTGACTGTTGCTGAGAAAGTGCACCGCTAGGCGTGGTGTGATCGGGTTGCGTCAATGTGCGGTTTGGTTGTAAGTGCAGCAATGGACCTTTTGCGTGTTATACGTGGTATGGACACGTTGAACGACGAGGCTGTCACCACTTTCTGCCCTCTGCTTTTCCTTATGTGGTATGCCAACCGTGTTGCAAACTTTGTAGCAAAAGAGAGAAAAAAAAATGTGTGAGCGTGAGCAGTAGCAGGGGACAAAAAGTCCCACCACAATATAAGTTGCGAGGAACAGGATAGAAGAGAAATCGTTAGAGACACGCGAGTCTTGCACGAGATCACACACTCGGCAGTCAACCCGAGTCACTCAATGGGAGGAAACGGAAGTACTGGATGAGGAAAGGCCGCTCAGGGATGACGGCATCCCAAGGATCCCAAGCATCCAAGCAAAAGATGACTGTGAAAGTAACGAAAGGACAGTCTCGAATCAGATAATGCAAAGTAATGAGTAGCAAAGAAGACAAGGGGCTCGGCCGAGACGAAGTGGGCGAGGAAGAGTGGAGGCACACCGACAACCGTTGAGAAGCCGGTCGGTCGGCAGTGCGAAAGAGAAGCTGGCAAATGGTGCGAGAGGTTGAGACCGGTCGGGGAAGGGATTGCGAGACACTCGGGTACGAGATTGATAAACAGGCGGCTTATGGAGTTGTTGGAGACGGTCCGTGAAATTCCACCATGGCTGTGGCCGTGTCACTTGCAATAGCATACAATAGAAAGTGCGGCTTGGCTGATTCTGTCGCCGATATTATGATCAGGGGGGGGGTGAAGTATGAGTTGTGAGCGAGCTTGTTGAGTGTGCGTATGCGTATGAGTACGAAGATCAGTGTAAGAGTGCAATGCTCAACGTGGGAGTTGAGAATCGGTGGAAGTGATGCAGGCAAAGTAATGCATAGGGGTGGGACGATGAGACTCAGAAAACTCTCTGGACAACGTCACAAGATCGAAACAACAGCAAGCGGAAGGAGCGATGGCCCGAAGAGCGAGATGTCTGACAAGGAAGGAACCCACGTAATGAGATTCTGCTTTCCAGGGTGACCGCTCAAGCATTCCCAGCAGTGGACACGCAAGTACCTTGTACGGGCGATGGCACTAGGAGAATGACGAAGCAGAGCAGAGACAACATCAGGCAGAAGACAGAAAACAGAACAAATATCATCAGGATGTGGTATGACGAATCAGATAAATCCCCGAAGCTGAAGCTTGGCCCGAGAAAAAAAAATATCACGAAGGCAGGACAGGTAGGGTTATGGTTCTTCCCATCGCGTCTGAATTCGTAATGACATAAGGCGTCGTGAGCATAGGGGAGTAAGAACGTCTGATGTTGAAGGTTTGCTTCCGTAAGAGGCTCCGACGGAGACGGAGCAATTTGTAAGTTTGGCAGCTCCGTCTCCGCTCCTTAAACTGCATTAGACACTAGCGCACCTCGCTCGAGCCTTGTCGTGGGGTCGAACGTGTCTCCTGATTGGCTAAATTGGTCGAACTTGACATAATCATATCACGTGACGTGCAGTGTCAACCGCACCTTAGCCCATGAGCGAACATCCGTCACGATTCTCGCAGTTTTGTGCGTGTCTTTTCGCACATTTGCAATTTTCTCGTTTCCCTCGCTGCAAAGACGATTTTTGCACGTCCCGAGTTCGTCTTAGATTGTCTTTATGATCTGTAGATTGTTTCTTTTGTCGTTTTTGCCACGAGAGTATCCACCACGCTGGAAGGCTCCTTCCTGATGCAGGCGTCATGGTTGGGTCGCGGCTTCCTCCGTGTAAGCCGCTTGCTGCCCATGACGCTCAACCGTATGAACAGCCCCTCTTTGCCGCATCTCGCTTGCCCCTGTCAACAGCCTTCTCGTTCACGGCAGTTGGGGAAGAAGAAGCGCGGCGCCGAGTACGAACACGAGCGCGCATGTTTATTCTGTTGGTGTGGCTTTCTCCGAGTGCGTCTTCACATTGACGTCTGACATGGAGATCCCGGCCCTACAATCGTGCATCGGTGCGCCCGTATCTCGCGTGGCATAAGCATACTAGCATCAACGCAATTTTATCATCCGTGCCTTTCGAGCGCACACCTTTGCTCTCTTTGCCATTCCCGTTTTGAACGCCGTTCCATTTGGTCAATCTCGAAAATGGTTTGCTACACCTTCCGGTTCATCTTCGCCCCTGACCGGACCATTTTACTATCGGCAGTTCGACAACAAAACGAAAATTCCGAGGACTTAACGGAGTCACGGCTCTCAGTCCACATGCTCATCATAAAAAATGCATCACAGGAACCAGAAAAGTGCAGTAGTCATGCAACGCTCACAATCTGTGGCGGCATCTGATGGAGTTCCTGTATTTGGTCGGTCCGATAGATGTCGGACATCATGAGATTGAAGGATACCACAAAAAAGACAAAATAACCTTACGTCAGGACATATCTGACGTTTTCTTTTCTCACGCACCAAAAAATGATCATATTCAAAAATAGGCGAGCACGACCCTCATCTTTTTACTTGTTCCCTCTCGTTCCTTGTCTCTTGCCTATCTCTCACACACTCGCCCCTCCCATCAAACATCAGACAACGAATAAACATGCGGACCTGTGCCTGCACGTCTCGCGGAGAGTACCAGTAGTTCACCAACTGGTCCGTGTAAGAATGTAGGTGAGATGCAGTGTGAGAAGAAAGAAGGCAAAGAAACGCGAAACAAAGAGAAAAGCACGAAAAAGAGTGGCGCCGACCCAGCAAAAGACGAAGGATAAGCTTAGGTGTTCAAATAGCAGTAGGTCAAGCCCACCGCCATATGGTTTCAGTAGCACGAGAGAGAACAAAGCCCGACCTAAGGCTCGGAGCCAGGTCCAGAGCTCGAGACAAAGTCTCAGCCTGGGCCTACTCCGACACCCAATTCAAAGGTCCGATTTCCCTAGTCGCAGGACCGGGGTTGGGGGTGTGGTCAGAAACGCGGAGACGGAGCGGACAGGCATATGTGGTATAAGGATTGACCAGTGCCAAGAAACGCGGCAAAACAAAAGCCAAGGCAAAGAACACGAGATTGAGTTCGTTCCCTTGTCCCGCGCAATGCTTGAAATGCTTGCTATTGCCTTGGCGTTTTATTTTATTTTTTTCCTCCGCCATGGTCCCCCACAGCCCACAGCCTACCACCAAATCCATTCCTTTGTTCTCGAACACGCCCCCCGGTCCCTCTCGGCATAATAGAAACCGCGTTAGGCCGTCGCAGCAACGGGCGACAGCTTCTCCTGGGCCAGGAGCGCCTCCGTCAGACCATTGTCCTTGTGGCTGTCCTGCTGCTGCAGCGCACGGACGGCCTGGGTGATACCCAGCTGCTCGTCGGTCCAGAGCGGGCTGTTCTCGGCGGCGGGCGGCGCGCCAACGCCCAGGAAACCACCGGGCACCTGGCGGGCCCAGTCCGACGTGCGGCGGATGCCCAGCTCGGTCCAGATGGAGTCGACGGCGTGGACAAGGCGGTCGCGGAACTCCTTGACGTGGCCCGGCGTGGGCGTGATGCGCAGGCGCTCCTGGCCGACGGGGACGGTGGGGTAGTTGATGGACTGCACATAGATCTGGTGGTCGCGCAGCAGCATGTCCGAGGCCTGCTTGGCGACCTCGGCGTCGCCCACGAGAAGGGGAACAATGTGCGACGGGTTGGGAATGACGGGGATGTCGCGCGCGGCCAGGCTCTCCTTGACGGCGCGGGTGTGCAGCTGCTGCAGGCGGCGGTCGCCGGCGTAGTTCATCTGGTACTCAATGGCGGTGCGGGCGCCGGCCATGGTCGCAGGGGGCAAGGACGTGGTGAAGATGAAGCCGGGCGCGAGCGAGCGGATCATGTCCACCAGCTGGGCGCTGCCCGCAATGTAGCCGCCGACGCAGCCGTAGGCCTTGCCGAGCGTGCCAGTGATAATGTCAATGCGGTCCATGAGGGTGCCGCTGGGACGGCCCTGGACGTGGGCGTCAAAATCGAGGTGCTCGGCGACGCCGGCGCCGTTTGGTCCGTACATGCCGACGGCATGGACCTCATCCAAAAAGGTCAGAGCGCCGTACTTGTCGGCGAGGTCGCAGATGGCCTCAATCGGGCCAATGGAGCCGCACATGCTGTAGACGGACTCGAAAGCAATAATCTTGGGGACGTTGAGGGGCAGGGCGGCCAGCTTGGCCTCGAGGTCCTCAACGTCGTTGTGGCGGAACACAATCTTTTGGGTGCCCGAGTGGCGGATGCCCTGGATCATGGACGCGTGGTTGAGGCTGTCCGACAGGATCACGCAGCCGGGCATGCGGCTGCCGAGCGTGGCCAGCGTGGCATCGTTGGCGACGTAGCACGAGCTAAAGACCAGCGCCGACTCCTTGGCGTGCAGGCGTGCGACCGTCTCCTCCAGGTGGACGGCGTGGCGGTTGTGGCCCGAGATGTTGCGGGTGCCACCGGCACCGGCACCGTACTCGTCGAGGGTCTCGTGCATCGTCTGCAGGACCTGAGGGTTGCTGCCCATACCGAGGTAATCGTTGGCGCACCAGACGGTAACGCGATCCTCCTTGTCGGCCATGTGGGCACGGGGGAAGTCCTTGGCGAGGCGGTTGATGTTGTTGAAGTAGCGGTACGACTTGTCCTTGTGCTTCTTGTCCAGCTCGGCCTCGTAGAAGCCCTCGTAGTCGAACTTGGTCTGCGCCATGGCCGGCGCCGCGGCGAAGCCAGGCGTGGTGGAGGCCTTGCCCGCAGCGACGGCGGTCTTGGCGGCCTTGGACACCTTGTCGGCGCCGGGGATGCCGGCGGGAATGCGCTTGTCATTGAAAACGTGGCCGTCAACGGCTCTGGCCTCCTGGGAACGGCTGGTATGGAGACGGGCCGTACGCGGAGCCGATGAAGCAGTTGAAGCAGTTGCCGACGCCGCGTGGGGGCAAGTGCGGGCGGCAGAGCCGTGGAGGCCGTGGGCGCGGGCAGCAGGGGCCGAAGCGACGGCAGACATCGAGAAGGCCGCCGAGAGCGAGGCTGCCACACCGCGGTAGCCCATGCTGCTGCTGGCAGCAACACGGCTAGTGCCAATGCGGGTGGCCTGGACGGCCATAGCCTTGCCCATGACGGGGCAGCGGCCTGCGAGCAGCTGCAGTTTCGATAGGGCGCCGCCGCAGGGGGATGCAGCAATCAGAGCCGAGGATGCCTCGGGGGCAGCCTGCTGGCGGGAGGCGGTCGAGAGAGCGCGGAGCGTAGCCGGCGAGGCCTTCTTGAGGAAGGGGCACACGGCCTTGGACTGGCGAAGAACGGCGTCCATTGCGGTGGGATTTCTTTTTTCTTTTCGTTTCCTTTTTTTTTCTTGTTGGAGTTCGTTATTCGGAGGGCGGCGTTGTATGACAGTCCAATTCGGACAGCGAGTCAGTACGGACTAAGCAGAGAGGGAAATGCAAGACGATGATGCAAAAATGACAATGACCATTAAGAAAATAAGGAAAGTGTCCAAAAAAGTTGCAGTTCCAGAAAAAGCAATGACAAAGAGAGAAAGGGCACACGGTGGTTGGTTGGACGGTGGGGTGTGGCAAATCCGAGGAAGGGACATCCGAAACGCAGTAACAATTTAGGCCAGGGCTAAACAAGGGAACGAAGCATGGAATAAAAAAGAACACTAAAACCGTCCACGGTCAGTGGTCCCGTAACGAAATAGGCGACAAAATCAACCAACTGCCTGCAAAAAGTGCTCTGAAAAGAGGGGAATACCGCTAGCGCGGGCCATAATATGGGCCAGTGGTCAATGATCTCCAGCGCTCAGTCCGTACGTGCAGGCGGAAAGGGCGCTGTGTCTCCAATATTGTTGGCAACATTTCTGGGCTTTTGCAGCCACGGGGACCAAGCCAAACAACCAAAATCTGTGGCCGGCGAAGCAGAAGCCGAGACGGCAAGCGGACATACTAAACTATGAGGAAATTAAACAAAATTATAAGTCTCAATGAAGGAAGCAAAGTGCCTTGAACACGGTCCGTTCCAGCGCTGTGTTATTTGCTTGCCATACCGGACACGACGTCAGCCAGTTCGTGTCTAACAGGTTGCTCAATAGTCGGAAATCTGTCAAGTCAATTCATGGTGGTCCGTGTAGAACATTCTAGCTCTCAACTCTGTCTACATGCTGTCGGTGCATACATCCGACATTTGTTGCTGCAAATTGCAGATGGGTCGTTAGATGCACAGGTTCAGTCGCTGTTTCCTCGCCAGTCTTCGTCTCGGGATTCGGAATTGGCAACGACTAATAACTTTTTCCACTGCTTCAGTCTTTCTTCTTTTTTTCCCACTAAGATCGAATCGGCGTGCTAGGCCAATCAGGTGTCGAAGCGAGGCCCGCCCAGTCCCTTTTCAGGCACTTTTGTCCCTTCTTCCCCGCAAAATAGGTCCTTGTTCCTGTGCCTTGTTCTTTCCTGTGACTTCTGCATGGACGCCGCACGGAACGCAAGAATAGGAAGGATCAAAAATACAGGGGCAGAATAACGGCCGCAAAGGAGGGGAAAGACGGCAGGACCTCTACTTAATAATGCCCTCGCACTTTATTTGTGCATTACATTGGAGGTGGACAACGTAGATTGCTTCAATTGGCGTTCCTTTTGTAGGGTACTACAGAATAGTCACCCTCGTATCCGTCCTGACCGTCCTCTGGGTGAAGAGCAAAAGGACGCTAGCGGTCATGCAGTTTAGCCTGCTGCTGATTGGACTCGGCCTCGGCAAGTGGTCACAGGCGCTCACACGTTAAAAGTCCCTCCTGTTCCAAGCTGTTCCAAGAGGCCATCAGTGCATCTTTCGGGACAGCGTCAGCGTGTGTGTTTATGTATCGAAAGTTGTTTATTTTTGAATGTTTTATTATCATATTGCCTCCTCACGATTTATTGCGTCCGAGACAGATACGGCTCGAGAACATATATTCGACAAAAACGATCAGAAAGCACCACATATTGTATCAGGACTGCAATGCCTCAGTTTTCTGGCTCACTTCATGTCATATCACACCGCTGTACCCCGTATATGCCCGAATATACTCCGCAAAACATACTTCACAAGAAATGCTAGGGCGTACTTGACTGGAAACTATAAAGTAAGAAAAATAAAGGAGTATTAATCGACCGTGACGCCAGGTAAAACGCCTGAACCAAATGTAGAAGAACCAGCGCATGTAAAACAAAGTGGAGCACATGAGGAAGAACGAAACACAGCCAAAGCCCCCATTAATCAAGAATGAACGGATGCTGTGCATTGTCGCCGGCTTGTGGCCCAGGGCCCCGGCTCGGCGGTGGCAAGATGCGGGGCTTGTTGCCGCCGGCCTTGTCCTTGTCCTTCTTGGCGTTCTGCTGCCGCCGGTCAGCGTCCAGCAGGTCGCGCTCCAGTTGGTTCTGGCTCTGCTGGCCCCGCTGCAATTGCGAGGCTGGGTCGATCCGTGGCGCGCCCCGGATACGAAAGGCGGCGCCCTGGGTGTCGGGCACAGGGGAGGCGGCGCCGGAGCTGGATCGAGCCGAGTGGGTGGACGGAGGCGGCGGGGGGGAGCGAGAGGAGTGCACCTGTGACCGGGCAGCCTGTGTCATGTTGGGGGTCGTGTTGGGTGGCATGTCGGGTGTCTGTGACTGTGCCTGTGACTGTGCCTGTGACTGTGCCTGTGACTGTGCCTGTGGCATCCACGGCGATGGCGATGGCGACGGCCGCTGTGGCGTTTGGGGCACCGATGCCGACACCGACACGGCGGCCGTCTTGCGCTCTCTGCGCTCCACAACCTCGCGCATGGCCAACAGGTCGCGCGATTTGGCGCCCGAACTCGACACGCGTGGCCGGTCCTCTCGGGGCGGCCCACCACCTTCACTTCGTCCCAGGCCAACGGAGCCCCGGTCGTGCACCTCGTGGCTCCAAATCTGTGACCGCTGCAGATGGTGCTTGAGGTGCTGTTGAGAAACACAAACGGTTAGTTCTATTGTCATGGACAAAAGGGGTAAGATAAAAAAGGATGGAAACGCACGTCTGGGTCTTTGGCCCGTATCGGTGGTGAGGCAGCCGGTCGAGGCGAAGCGGCACCAAGGGTCTCGCTAAAGCTGGACCTGCCGCTGCCGGTCATCAAGTGCGGCCGGCTTGGAACGTTCGTGAGAGCCCTGGCGCCAGAGGCGTCGTCCATCGGCTCTGCCTTGGTGGCGTGAGTGGGAGGCGCCATAGGTGAGGGCATGGGTAAGGGCATGGGTAAGGGCATAAAACTGGGTTTCGGAGTGCTGCCGTCTGCTGTATACTTGATCTTGAGGTAACCCTTGCGGTACTCATCAGCATGCTCGACCATGTGCTGAAGGTGCAGTTGGCGCACATAATCTGCTTCCTCGTTCGGCGCCATCGCGGCCCACGCCCGGTGGCTAAACGTCGGCATGACAAACGCACTCGCAAAGACGGGATCGCGGAACGCAAGGATGGCACACCGTGTTATATTCATAGTGATTGGCACAGTGATGTTGGCTATTGCGCCTTCCGCCAAACTCCTCGCGACATAAAAGTTCCCTTTGGCTTCGGCGGGTTTGGTCCACGACCGGTCAAACAGCTTCCGCTCCAAGATGCGTATGGCAGTGTGTTGTTCGCCAAATAGGTTACAAGCATTGGGCATCGTCTTAAGACTGTACGCGCGCGGCATGGAGTCGATTTCGGCCAAGGCACCGGTCACGAGATCAGCCAACTTCTGGTCCTCCGTCGACCTCAACATCACCAGCGCTTTTGCCGAAATCGCCCCGTGCACGGTAGCCTCGGCGAAACCTGGCACCCTGGTGACCAAAGATCGGAGGCGGCCCCATTGCGCTTTCTCAGGCAGGCCCGAAAGCTTGGCCATTGGCAAACAGGCTACGATTTCGTCAACTGTCCTGCGTGCCAGGAGCTCGGCAGTCCGAGGCTCCCATATGCATTGCTGTCTATCCATAGTTCCACTGAGCAGTGCCTCTTTCAAAACAGCCACGAAATCTTCCGATGTAGCCGCCAAGGAGCTTGAGGGCCCCGGTGGTGGCACTGTTGGTGTTGATACAGGCGTCTGTTTGTGTGCCGGCGTCGGCCGGAGAGGACGATCAATGTTGGATTCAGGCACCGGTTCAGAAATCCAGTCGTGGTGGTCTAGATGGCCGTTTGACGGCACGACGGCTGGCAAGACGGGCGTGGGTTGCATGGTGTGGGCGGTAGACTGCGTGCGGATCTGCATCGGTACGGAAGCCGGTTGGTTGAGGAAAGCATCGTACGCATACATGCTGGGGACTGGATTAGACCCTGGCTGCTGCGACTGCTGAAGCTGCCGCGACTGTGATGCCAGCACCAACGAAGGCAGCACACTGCCTGCGCCAGCCCGCGCCATGGCATGCGAGGTCGCAAAATCGGCCGCTGTCGGCGGGAACCTAGCTCCATCGACTTGTGTGCGCTCGACCCTCTGCATCGTCGTGGTTTGTGAGCCCGCCATTCCCGGCGCACCGACCACTTGGAAGCCGCCCTCCGGCCCACCACACCGCTCCGCAGCCGCATCCTGTTCATATTGACCATGTTGACGGCTTCGGTGAGCTCTTCGGTGGTCAGCGCATCCTCGGGCTCTTCCATCTCAAACGTGTCGGTCGACATGACCTTGCAGATGCGCTCTTGCGTGGGCGCGCCGGGGCGCAGGAGTGCGTCCAGCACCACATCGAGGCCCTTGTACTTGGTCGCCGTGTCCGGGACGACAGGGACGACTTCGGGGTCCTTGGTGTAGTTGCGCAGCTGGTCGGCCCAGGCCTGGGGGTTTTTCTTGTCCACCACACGCGAGGCCAGCTGCGTCTTGAAGACGGCCTGGTCGTGCAGCACCGTCTCAAAGGTGCCACCCATAATCAGCCAGTACACGACGACGCGGCGCGTCTGGCCGATGCGGTAGGCGCGACCAATGGCCTGCTGCTCGTGGATGGGATTCCACTTAAAGTCGAAGATAACGACGCGATTGGCGCCATGGATGTTGAGGCCGACACCGCCCGCCGTTGTCGAGATCAGATACACCTCGTCGCTGCCCGCATTGAAGTCCTTGACCATGGCCTGGCGCTTGCTGACGCTGGTGTCGCCGTCCAGCCGCTGGTAGCGGCGCGCCTGGCGCTGGAACGCGGTCTGCAGGTAGTCCAACACGAGCTTGCTCTGCGAGAAGACGAGCACTTTCTCGCCGACACGCTTCGCTTCGTCCAGGATGCCCATGAGAACCATAATCTTGGACGAGTATTCGGGTGCATCAATGTTCTGGGCGTGGACCGCCGCCAGGAGCTGGTCGACCATGGGCGCCGG